AGAAGGAAGTTCTTTTACCTGCTGGTGACGCGAGCCGGTGAAGGAGTACTGGACAGAATGTGCTGGGTAGCGGCCCTGCTCGTTGCCGAAGCTCCCCTGGGTGGGGGGGTAGCCCGAGCTGCTGGACATCCTGGCTCAGTGCTAGCTGCTGCTGCTTCAGAGACACTAGCTAGACCATGTTTGGAGAAACAAACCACCTGCAGCAAGACAAAAGCATCGTATTTATTATTTGAAAGTCACCTTTAAGACAGTAAGATTAATACTGCAGCCTCTGTTTTAATTGAGTTAATATATATTTTCTAGGACAGCACTACAGCAATGCGGACAATGCTAACACAGTATTCATTTATTTTTATTAGACTCACAATACTGACCCCAGGTGTCAATATTGAGGCCCAGAGTGAATATTATGGGTGTAGTAATGTCTTTTATGACAAAGGGAAGCAGTCGTGATGACCTTGTATCCAATAAAACTATCTTATCCCCATCCAGACATGACAACGAGGAGGCTGTTCCTTCCATGATAATACATTTCAGAAAGTCAGACGCTTCTTGAAAATCTGAATGAGGAACACTCTTAGAAAAAGAATTTGCCAACTTAGATTCAAAACTATGTTAGAGAAAAAAGATTGGATAGTATTCATATAAAAGTGTGCGTTTATTTATAGTATGTGGTGTTGCTCCAGTGTCACAGAAAGCAATGAGTGTGCTCAAGTTAGTATGCACTATCGTGTCACCAATCTTACTTTGAGCATGCTCTTAAAATAAGTGCAGTCCAGCATGACTTTCAAAAACATTACTGTGCTTCCATGCAGGCGAATATAAAGCACTGCCCTGATCATCGTTCTTGTTGCCAGTGTAGGTAATACGGTTAGAATCTTATCCAAAAATAAACCTTGCATGGGCGGTAATCTAAATCAAGGCTTTAAAAACCAAAAGTGCAAGGATGATCTTGGAACAACTTGTACACTCTGGGTTGTGCAGCTGCAGCCGTGGAAAACACCAAAACGGTATTTATGTGGGTGGACACTGACAGCGGCCTGTTCTTCGAAAATGGATGACGATGTGAACTTCATTTGACTGTTTAATTGTTTTCAGCCTTGATTCTTTGTTCTTTAGAGCTGATTAAAGTAAATGTTAAGCACTTGTTTAATTATTAAGCTCAAACAGAATGAGGATTATTTATAGGAGTCATATTATTACCTCAGTGCATCAAAAGTTGAGAACTTCCCTTAACAACCTTAATTAATGGGGCTTTCACACCAACGCGGTTCCAGGGCCGGTTCGGAGCTAGAGCCTGAAAAGCACCGTTTTTTCCTGTTCACACCGCAGCGTCAATTCAGACTGAAACACATTCACTTGGGGAATTGGGGATATGTATCAGCTGCTTGTGTGACAGTCAGACAGTGAATACTTTACAGCGGCCGCTGCCGTGTGAGCTAACCCGGAGCTAACAGGAGAATAAACTCCGGTGGAAGAGCAGCACTGCAGCGGTCGGTAAATGCCGCTAAAACACATTAATAAACAATTAACCACGGCACTCTGGAGAAAAGTATAAGGTTGGAGAAGTCGTTATTTAATTTAATCTGGCTTCGTATGATTAAAAGCAACACGATCATCGACCCGACGCAGTCCCCCGTTGTTGTAGTGAGCACCGTAACGCCGTTTGGGAGAAAATCAGCGACGCAAACGGTAGCCTCATGACGCAGCAGCGGCAGCACCAGTCGGGCTCTGGGCGGTGTGAACAAAACGGGGGCTGAAAAAAAAAACCTGGTTTCGAACCAGAAAAGCTCTAGCACGGAGCTAGAACAGGAACCGCGTTGGTGTGAAAGGGGCATAAGTAGCTTGATTTGCGAGAACCTAGTCATGCTTTAATCATGCTAAGACCTTCACAAGTGGGTATTGTTTGGGAAAAAAACTTGTTGACAATAGACTTGCAGATACATTCAGTATAAACATATCCAATCCAGAGGATGAATTGCAATAATCACTTTATGTTACAAATACATTTGACAGGAATTAGTTACTTCGAATGTTTGCAATTCTAACAAAAAAACTGTAGAATAAAAAAAAGGCCATCTAGAAATATGTACTTGCATTCTCAAATCAAGAAGAAATGTAGCCAATCATGAGCAGGCTCAAAAATACATTAAAATTAAGTTTTTTAAATAATAAGTATGACTAAAATGTGTACAGCCTTAATTCGTCAGATTTTAATTCACTTCTGATGTGCAGCTGTAAAGGGTGCGGTCTCTATCCTTACACGTCATGCTAGTCAATCATATGAGCGGAGATCGTGCTATTAACTTTCCACTCATTCATTCTGAATAACATCTCATTGTTATTAATATATATTTGTATCCAGGATTAACAAATAAATCCTCCACTCGCATTTAAACAAACATGTTTGAATGGAAATTATTATGTTTATTTTAGCTGTGCAAAGTTATGTTTGCTCCACCAGTTAAGCAAATTGTAAGACTGAGCAGAGTCAGTAAGCCTTTTCACACGTTATTCTTCACAAACTCATACATTTGTTTTTGGTCTCATTATATACAGGCAACAAGCCTATGCCTCGAATACACACACACAGGATATTTCTGCGTCACTGGATTTTTCTTTTTGGATCTTTTTGTCCCTTCTTCAAGGGATCCTACAAATGAATCCGTGTTCTGCTGTCTCTAGCTTTTTTATTCTAGGGTTGCAAGATTTACAGCATGGCCACCATGCCAAGACATTATGATGCTAACTTGGGATGAAAAAGCTACAACCATTGCCACCATAACCGGGGTGGGAAGCTGTTATTTTATTTCAATCCGCAGGCCACATACTTTGGTGGGTCCCATAATTTGAGATTCACTTTCACTATTTCAGAAAGGATACTAAAAATATCCTTAGTGTCTTGTGAAAAACACTGGTCGCAGTGTATGTTTTAGTTTTTTGCCATAAACTTTTTAAAAAATCACATAACTGTGTATAACACATTCAACACCATGAAATAAATAGCCAATGTTGTTATGTCCAGTCATGAATGCAGTTCTAAAATGTATGTGAGGCTTCACTTTTTGGCTTTGTGCCAAACAATAAGGAAGAGAAAATTCTCTTGAGCATTTTGTCAAATTTGAGAGACATACATTTCAAAATGTGAGGAGCAATTAGAAATATCAAAACTCTGAAATAGCACCCACTAGCAATACACTATTAAAACCACCAACAACGTTTAAGTTGTTACTGGCTGACAATTAAAAAACAGGAAACCAAATGTTCTGCATGTGTGTCATCTTACAAATGAGGCCTGGCTCCTTTACAAACACAGTATTTGTTTGTGTGCTCCCAATTAACATACAAAAACAATACCTCAAGGGTTCAAGTCCATCACACTATCCTCCTTATTAAATCCCCCAACATCTTATTTATATACAAAGCAGGTGATTGAGCAGTTTAATATGTTTTTGCTTACTTTCAAAATCAGCTGTTGCAGTCATGGTAACTATGGACTATCCATTTCCTGTTTCTCAGTCTTTAACCCTGCTAGTGTAACAACTTGGATAAATAAATCCATAATGTGAATCATGTAATGGACCTTTTTTCAAATTACAGATGTAGCTATAATCCTGTCTCATATCTTTAGAAATTGAGCATTACGTCTACAGTATTTCATTCTGGGAGTTCCTCTACATCTGTCATTTTAAACAGTTTTTAATTTCTTTGTCCCCAAGTGGTTTAAGGCATTTGGAGAGTAGAGGCATGCAGTTTCCTGTTATAAAATGACGTTATGCTTTTGTTGTTTCACGGTGAAGTTCTTGGTACAGTTAATTTTAGAACGCATTTCCAATGGTCTCTGATCATTTAAATTGCAAAGCTAGCAGCCATGTTGAACGCCATGCCCTCATACACGGCCTGGGAGTGGGAAATACTGTTGCTGTGTGTTGTTATTGGTGGCTGTTGTTAACACCATACTGTCATATAAACGCAATTGGATTTGTAGCTTATCTTGGGGGATGGGTCCGTTTCCACAACATAGAGCTTTTCCGGAAATGCACCAAAAACACGCACAATAATAAACGTCCGCCTAAGCGTATTATGTTCCTTAAACACTTCAGTGCATTAGCCCTGCGTCTAATATGTTATTGTTGTTGTCGCTAGCTAGCTAACTTAGCCTGAATTTCACCTTTGAATTCCCAACCACGTCGCCATCTTGCAAGGCAGATTTTCATCGTAGACCGGGGACTTAAATTGCCTGCTTATTAGGCATGTTGCTTCGCTGCATATTAGATATTTGTACTCACCTCATATTTAGAAAATATATCGGTGTGAGATAAATGTATCCCTGGGCAGAAATATGTGTCAATTGTTGATTGTAAATCCGCGGGTTGTGAGCTGTGGACGACTGGGCAGACTGAAGGCTGCGCCGCATTTGTCGGTCGATGTCCTGACAGGGTAATATAAATTGCCTATACTCGGTTGGATCCACAGCTTTCTGGAATTCCCTAACAAAGTTGTGTAAACAGTAAAAATATATTTATTTATTTTCTTCACAAAGTAAGCGGACTATTATCTGATCCTCTTAATAAATACTTTACATTTTACTCTTTAGTTTTTATATACCTGTAAGGATTATGCAGTGTAACAGCTAAATCGTCCCCTCAAACAGAGTAACGTTCCTGGTGTTTATAATTTTCACTTTTCAAAAATACACATTTCGCTTAATTTATCTCATTTGACTACAAACGTTCAATGTCCCCTTTACTCAAATATGCCAGAAAAGCATTATGTTTCATAGTTATTTATTCGTTATCCTAAGAAGTTTATAATCAACACATTATTGTGTGGCTAAAAGTGAGCAGCTATTGCTTTGTTGCAATTAGTTAAGACGCTTACTGCATTATCTAAAGATGGGGTGACGTTAAATAAAGCAAACCTTCCGCTTTTAGGTTGTTGTTTTTATACACGTGGAACCATTAGTATGTTAGGCTTTTGTCTGTACACGGATTGTTTACGGTAACGGTCAAAATAATGAGTGTTTACCCGGCTGTCTTTATAGTTTTATCCTATTTGGTTTGGATAAAATGCATTTACTATCGACATCGAAGCTCTTTGGTGAAGTCGTTGAATCATTTTATGAACGTGTTAACAAGCAGAGACACAGTCGGCGCAGACATCAGAGCTCTGGTTGTGACTGCGCATCCGGATGATGAATGTATGTTCTTCGCGCCAACGATTATACGTCTCGTTGAGTTAAAAGCCAGCGTTCATTTGCTGTGTTTATCAGAAGGTATGGTTTCACTACACTATTGTATCACAATGAGCTTTATAACATAATTATAAAGTTATGGAGGAATGCTAATTTAGCCTGAGGATAGCTGCTAACAAATGGAAGCTAGTTTTAATCACGTGCTTTTACTCATTTGAGTTAAATAGATAATAGTTTGCTAAACATAAACGTTAGATTGAATGTGAAGGATATAGAAATGGCAGCTTCTGGATTTTTTTGTACCATATTATTCGTCATTGAATTCTAAAAGACACCTGAAAATAATTTCTATTCAAAGTCTTACTATGTTGTATTCACATAATAAAACCTTATACATTCAAGAACTTGTGATTTTTGAGTGAATTAATAATTCCCTCAACTACTGTAAAATAAAGGAAGCCAGTCTTGTGTTCACTGAATATATCTAATAAGGCCAACAGATCATACATTTGTATGAAAAATGTGGGTGACAGAAATGTCAACAGTTACTAGCTTTTTCAGGAAAGGCATAACACAGTTGGTGTCGATTATATTAAAAACAAATCAATAAGGGTTTCTGGAGTGAAATAAAGGCAATCTCACTTCAAAAACTTATTTTATAAATGATATGATACATAGAAGCATTAGGGTACATGTGTATATTTCATTCAGATCGAACTTAACTGGTGTTAGAGGACCAGAATACAGCTAAAGAACATATGGCATTGTAAAATGTTTTACCTAGACATAATTATGTTAGCCATTATGGAGCATCAATAGCCTAATTTGTCCTCCAAATATTGTACAGGAAACTACTACAATCAAGGAGCTCAGCGTAAACAAGAACTTCTCAACAGCTGTGCAGTGTTGGGGATACCAGACTCCAGAATCACCATAGTAGACCATACGTAAGCAAACCTATGCACCAAACATACAACACAACGTTTTACAAGTTAAAAACATTTTCTTATGTGTTCCTTTCAATGTTGAGAAAACTGAGTTTGAGTTAACTTGTTAAATAAATATGTGTTTTAAACATGATCGTACTGTTGATTGGTGTCAGCCCTCAATATGGTTTAAAACTGAAGCTAATTGTTGGCTCAAAAAATGACATAGGAAAATATTAATATATATCTGCTGCCCTTAATTCAGGAGTCAGGTCTCAGCATGTCTGCCTGTTGGGAGCCCATCAGCCCCCTCCCACCAAAAGAACAAATCACAACCATCCATTCTCACCACAACAGAGCCGATCTAGCCTGTGGCCTTATGTATAACTGCCTCTGTGTCAAAGGAAATAAATGAGAAGGCCCCAGGGACGGTGATCGGTCTTCCCTGTGGGACACAGAGCCCTCTACAAGAAGCTTTTAAATTCCAAAGTGACATCAATCTATCTATTAAAATGCCCCTCACTTTAAAATATAGTAAAGCCATTTTTGAAATTGTAATTATAGCAAATGCAATCAATTTTTTGAGTTTATGTTTTTTTAATCAATTGAGTAAAAAGGATTAATTAACACATTTACTTTTGGGAGGTAATTGTCTATATACTTAATTATACTTTTTTCCTTTTCATTACTGAATTACAGAATTTAGTGGTGCTCAAATCCAATCTGTCTTTCATTATTTAGCCGTTGACAGGTAGATTGTATTAGTGGAAAACTTTGGTAATTTTTGTTTATATTGTGGGTTACATACCAAAGTGTTTCTTGTGCTGGCAAACTTTTGAGCATATCTGCGTGTCAGTTGTAGACTATGGAATGTAAGGGGATTTTCCAACAGTTTTCTAAGAAACTAGTTGTCCATTCCAGGTTTTTTCCAGGAACTTAACAGTTCAGAAAATAAATTATAACTTTAGTGTGATAGCTCTCATTCATCTCCGAGTACTAAAATAAATTAGAGGAAGTCAGACAACAACAAAAAATGAATGTCATGGATGATGTACAGAAACAGCTTTGGTTAGTATGGCGGGGTTGTAAACTCCTCTAAGTTAAAACAGACTTCACTCACAGCCACAGTGGTTTTACATTCAAGCGGTAAGCAGAAATCGAAGCCAGGACTACTTGTTGGCCAAATTCTTCGAGGAACTCGTTATTCTTCATGTTTCTTTTTTGTTGTGCTGTTGATGCAGCTGTAAGACTTCCAGTCTCCTGACTTTGGCTGTGGCTATTGGCAAGGTCAAGTTACTGAGAAAGAAGTGGTAAAGGTGATGTTGAAGAGGGGGAGTTTTTTCCTGTAGAACAACCCTGCAGCTTCCCCTGAAATGTTTTGAGTTTCTAAGAATCTCGGGGCCGCCCACATTTCAGTCTCTACACGTTGGCGCAACAAGAGAGAGCTGCATGAACTCTAGCACTAACCTGGAGCTCACAGCAGTATTCTGGCAGCCTGCCCAGGTTGTCTGCTCTAGAGAACATTTATGGTGTGTGTGTGTGGTATTTTAAATGCAGTTTTATCATCCTGTGCACACAGAGCATCACTGAACTTTGATCTTAGTGCTGTCTGCACTTCTGCTGAACTGGAGAGTAGCCCATTTTCCCTTTCTGTGTATTCTGCTGTTTGCTCAAAACACAAACCTAATCAGCACATTGAGAGCCCCACTCTCTCCCAAACAAGCTCTGTCTCTCCATCTCTCTCTGCTCTCCCACTCTTTTCCACCACCCCTCCTCCTTCTCCTCCTCTTGTCCGTCTGCTGGAGCCAACTGCCAAGGACTGTGGGATACATTTTGGCCATGCTCTGAGCACAGCTAATGTAGGTCATTCCAAGCTGTTTTCCCCTTTATGTGTCTGCATATTGAGAGCCACACTTTGGCTTTGCTCCTAACCTTCTCTGCCAAAGTATAGTTCATCCATGACTTTACCTCTCCCTGCTTTTTACGCTCGTCATTTTAAACAAAAAGAAAGAAAAACATGTTGCGCAAAAGTTGGCAAAGCCCTTTGCATCTTAACAATGTATTGGTGTTATACTAAGATGATTGGAGGTTTGATTATGCTAATTAACAGTAGTTGAAGTAACAATTTCAAGACTTACCTCTATTGTTTTAAAGCTCCTAGCCCCTTAGTTCAAGACATAATATTTGTATGTAATGCTATAAAGAAAAATCTAGAGCAGCTCCTCAGTGTATGTGTCGTTTAAAATATTTGCATTTTCCATTTATGCCAAGCTAGTTATTATGTTTTTGTAATGCGAACACAAACCAGGAAGGTGCACCTTTTGTCAGCATCTACTTGTCACTGTCGATTTAGTTGGACTAGGTTCAAATTTTGTTACAGTTTTGAATCAAATCCATCTCATTGAGTCAATTAATTTCAAATTATGTCTTGGTTCAAACTAAATGGTTACCCAACGAGTATTTGGGCTCTTTTTCTATGAAGGGGGTTTTGTTTTTTTATGCACAAGGATGCATGTTACCCACATTCCTGACTATGGATTCACATTATTCCACTGATCCAGTTGCTGTAACACGGCAAAGTACGCAGCAATGTACCATCAAAATCTGTGCATTAGTAAACTGAAAGCATGTCAACATGGATGTAACAATGCAATATTTAATATTCTTAAAAATACACTAATTGTAATTATCCTCATGCAAATGATGTGGCATCTAGATATTATTAAACTTGGTCAAACTGTATTAAACATTTGCAAAAAACTAGTACCAGACCTAATGCATACTAATACGTTTTTTTTTTTTTGCAGTATTGACTGTATCATGTCATGCATCAGGGAAGTGTGTGCTGGGTCGACTGGAGTTTTGTTTTCAAGCTAAAGTCTCAACTTCGCACAGTGTAGGTTTATGTTTCATAACGAACAAACTGAGTGAGACCTGCTTCCTCACAACTAAAGCCTATGCTATGGAATAACGGGAATAACACGTGAATTCTGCTTTAAAATAGGATTTTCCCTTTAATGCTTACTGAATAGGACAGCTGTGTAGACAGTATCTGGGGCCAGTGCATGTTGGGGCCTTTGTGATCAAGCTGGATCTGAGCACGCTCTGCTGCCTCTCCACTTGCACTGGCCTGACCTCTGTCTGCTCCCTGGACTCAATTATAGCTGCTCACTGCACACATCCAACCACCTCGACGCTTCATTACATTATCAACCAGACTGAACCAACTCTATAACAAACATCACATTTATTTAAAATGTTTATTTCTCTACTTATATCTCTTTTACTTAGAAAGTTAGAAAAATATTTACTGAGATATTATCACAGACTTTAAAATGCTTTTTTTTAATGTATGTTAATCTTTTTTTGGATGTAAACAAAGACATAAGCATTACGTTTGTGGAAAGGAAAGCCGTATTGACTTCAGTAACACCGTATCCCCATACAAGGTTTAAATATTCATCGATCGTGGTAAAAATAGCCGTAGCTAATTTAGAGGCACACGGCAGAGTGCAGTAAATAGTGCTGAGATGTTCCAGCCTTGCCACTGACCTGTGGCTGTGCTTTTATCTCAGATACATGTGTCACCAGCACACACTGGCTCTCTGAATAGTCAAACAGTTGCTTAACTCAATCCTGCTGCCGGCAACACACATGACATTTTGTCACATTAGCTTTCTCTTTCTATGAACAACCTCTCTTTCTAAACACTACTTACATAATTAGTCAGTTTAAATGCCTCTAAATGATTGTGTAACACAGTGTGTCTATTGGTGTTGCTGTATTAACTGCCTCATTACAGAGTGATATTGTGGGTGCATTGTCAGTTTGTAGTGGCATCACAGCGGTTCCCAGCAGGACATTATCTGACTGTGTGGATAGAAGCCTGGCAGTTTCACAGGCCTGTGGTCCATGTGACCAGACTAACCAAGCCCTCTTTAACACACACACACACACGCACGCACACACAGACACACACACACCTACTGAATCCGCCTTACTCGGCCAAAGTTCAACCACTGCATACAGATGCCTGCAAGCAATTACACATCCACATGCAACGCTACAAAAGCGGAGCAGGGGAGGTTACTTTAGGACATTTTGCACTGTTGCCATGGCGAGGCTGACACTCTGCCTGCATCCTGCATGAGAAAGGTCAGGTGTCTTGTGTCTTTTGTTCATTTTTCATCCCCCCCCCCTCCATGCAGGCTTGTGCTTTGCAAAATGCCTCAGATAATAAATGAATAAATGCACTAGAGAGAATATAGGGCAACATTAAGAAATGCATGAGTGTGGCCAAGCTGTGAACTCGGAATGGTATTTTACGATTCATACACTTTTGTCAAATCCTCCCAAATTGCTGTTTTATTACCTTTTATTACATTAGGGGCCTTGAACATTTTAGAGAAGTTTGAATCAATTTCCCTGTGCCATCCCACACAATCATTATGATATGTCACAGCAGTGCATTCACTCGTTGACGGACAGTTTTAAACTATCTCTGAACCCCCGACCCTCCCCTCCTCCCACCCCTGCTCCCCATGACATAGCCTCCCCCCTAACCCTCCACCTCTTTACACCGTAGCCTGACCCTCACATCACTGGCCACCAATAGATCAGTGCTCTAATCCATCACTTCCCCCTACCAGCCCAACTGTCCCGGCTCATTGTTAGCAACGGAGGGGAGGGAAGAAACTGTTTATGACCCCCCCACACCTACCCCCACTTTAAAAACCGTACATATACATGCACTGTCACACCATCCATGTACCACCCCATGTGAGGATGTTATAGGGCTGCTCGATTATGGCAAAAATCATAATCTCGATTATTTGGGTCAATAATTGATATCACGATTATTAAAAACGATTATCCATTTACTTTGAAAACATCCATTTATTGAAAAAAAATGTGAACAGTATGTTTTTAACAGTTCATTACCCTGAACTTTAAGTATAATTCAACTGAAAAACCAATAAAATAAATAATTAAAAAAATAAAATATATAATCGTTTTATTTCGATTATGTTGTTTTCATAATCGCTGCAAGCCAAAATCGTAATTGCGATTAAAATACCATTAATTGAGCAGCCCTAGGATGTTACACTATTGTCAGATCAAGTCTTACATGTTACCAAGCCCCTTTAATGATCATTTGATCTGGGATTGAATTCCATATTTATTTTTAGGATTGGCACAAAAGAGTTATTCAGTCTAAATCGTGGAACGAACGAATGGCCTACAATCTTTGAGCAGATTTTCTTTTGGTGTAAAATTCAAAACGTACAATACTGTAGAACAAGACGAGAAAAGAAAAGTCTTTGTTTTGTCCTTTTCCAGACAGCTTCAATGTGGTCTTTCCAGGATAGCAGATGATCTATCTTAACATCAAAGTATCTGAAATGGAAGGACCTGTTCAATTAAATTGTTCAGCAACACATCATGTCACTGATCTTTCTGCTTATCTCATCAGACCGAGACCCCCATGGTTCTCAAACCGTCATTGCTTTGTTGTCTGTTTGTGTTTTAAACAACAGAAATCAGAGGAATCATATCTGGTGGACAAACTGGTTCTACTACATTTATTCTTTATTATGGTGGCTGGTTTCTATTGAGTTCATCGGGGGCATTGAACAACTGCAAAAAAAACGTTTTTTATTCTTTCAATTGAGAGGTATTATTTGTGCCAAAAAGGAAGTATCTGCATGTAGAGTAAGTCACAAACTTGGGTTGGCCAAGTGATGTGTATGTAATGTGTTGTCTTCAGGCTGTAGTTTCAGATGAACATGATGGTGAGGGTCGTCTGACCCCTAACCCCCTGGAATTCCCAAAACTCGTAAAAAAGTAGGCGCCTGAGAAACACCAAGCATGCTTATGTTGTGTAGAATTTACGCAAGGTTACATCACAGACACAATGCACTCCTGTTTATCAGTAATATCACTTGGAAGATAACTAAGTCCTTTTTTTCACCCTCCAGAAAACTCCCCGATGATCCCAAAGCAGAATGGAGCGTCTCCCTGGTCTCTTCTTTAATTGTGAAGCACATGAGAGAGCACTCCTTCAACATGGTATGCTCAGCTTCGCGCTGAATTCTTTCCTTTCTTAGCAGTTGTTTTTTCCTCATTTCCTGTCAACAAACCATTTCCCTGCCCTTTTGCATACAAAATCCATGTATTGCTTTCTTAAGTTTTAACCATATGTCTTCGCACCTCATGTCTCAAGCTCATTATCCCATTTCCCTTGTGGTCTGCATAGTATTCCTGTCAGACTGCGTCTCTTTTTGTCCAGCTCAGACTTTATTTTGAGCCTCCCTGAAAATGAGAGGAAATGGCCTCTGCTGCAGTTTGGATTCAACTTGGTGTTTACATAGATGCTTATCTGCCGCAGTGTAGTTCCGTACTATTAACTAATGGGAATGTGGCTAATTTAGAAATCAAAGAATTGTTATTCGACTACAAAAATAGTAACATTCTGACAAACAAAAAGTACAGCAGCCATGACAAAAAAAGGTTCTTAAGTCAAGTTTATCAAATACAGCTGCGTTGTTTTATGCTGCTTTAAGAAGATCTCTTCTTCTTATCAAAGACGACAAACAAACATACCGTCTCCTCCCATCCTGTCAGGCTCTGCAGAAAGAATTCCTCTTGACCAAAAAGTAGGCTTGAGAATCATGATTTCTCTAAAGAATGTATGCAGCAAAAACAGAGATAAGCATCATGAGTAAAATGTGGTTCGCTCTTAAACTGAATTACATGTTTCCTTGGTCTTAAACAACGGCAATCTCTTGATTTTCAATATACAGGTCATGAGGGATAAAAACAAAGTCTACTTGTTACTTATAATAAGTGTTGGTGGACTTTAACTGATGCTTGATTGCAACGACATAGTCATGGTAGAATACGCCTGAGCATAGCAAATGCCAAGTCTTTAGTCAAGCACTTTTTCTTTCCCTTTGACCTGATTGTTTCTTGCTTCCTCTTGTGTGGAAGCATGCACACAGAAAAAGGCTTTAAATATCAGTTGTCAGCTGCCAAACAGCTCCAAAGTCAAGACACAGAAACCCTTGCACTAACCCAAGAAAAATCTTTTGCCTCCGTTTATATTTAAATTCACTTTTAGATACCCAGATGCTGGATTTGCACCCACACACAGTGAGACATTTTGTTGTTTCAGGTGCTGACCTTCGATGGGAGCGGAGTGAGCGGCCATGCCAATCACACAGCCATCCATAAAGCTGTCAGGTACTGACTTTTAAAAAAAGACTTTAAAGATGCCAACCTAAAGACACCATCCAGATTGGTTTTATGTGCCTTATGCATGGTACCCACAGCCAACTCCACGGTCATAAAACATTGTCCAGGAAAGTGTAGAACATTGAGAGCCACATTAACAAACATCTTTCCCTGCACACACACACCATATGTTTTAGAATAGGGCTGTTACATAGCTGAGAGGTCATCCAAACACAGTCCTCAGAGGCACTGGGCTGTGCTCCCAGAGAGCAGCAGTAAATCCTGTCCCTGAAGTGGTGAGGTGGGAGGGCAGCTCTGGTTTGGAGAGGCCAACCAAGCACGTTGCATCAGACTGTTGGTTTAAAAAATGTTTTTCACTGGCTCCTGTTCCCATAGTGCACTGAGGCCTTAATTGTCTTGCCTGTTAGTCCTCTCTGAGCCGGCCCTCAACTGTTGATAAGATGTGAGCTCTCCAAATGTCACATCTCATGATTCCCATAAGGCCCAAACCCAGAGGGGCTGTGTACTAGCTTTGCAGTATTTTAAATCTCAGTGGTTTGTTGTTGAGTTTAGTCCATGTGTTAAAGGGACAATTCAACTACAAATATAGAATAAATGATTTCATAATGTTAGTTCTTTTTATCAATATAGATTGGTGTGAGTTGCTTTGTGTTGGTGATATTGGTCGTAGAGATGTCTGCCTTCTCTCCAATACAATAGAAGTCATTGTCTATTTCCATAATCATGAGCCAGTTACCAAAAATAATCCACATATCTAGAGCAGTTTTATGTAGGAACTATTTTCTTTCTGCCAAACTACAACCAGCAACCGTATCACCCCTCAGGAGTAAGTAATAGTTCCTACAATAAAATGCTCTGTATCTTGAGTTACCAGATCATGATTTATGGAAAGAGACAAAGCTGTTGAGTTTATTAAATGTATTTCTTTTGGCGTTTTGAGCACCACAAACCGAGTGCCATCATTTTCTCCAATATAATGGACATTGTTTGAGAAAAAGCAGACATGCATAAATCTGATATCTTCAAAACTCTACAACTTACTCCATACAATTATAAGATTGATAAACAGAACTACATATATATTTTTGATTTTGGGATGAGCTGCCCCTATAGTTGCTCTTGAAATGCAAATGTGAAAAACTTGAAGTAGATTTGACAGAGGATCAGGAAATTAAAAATGTCATCTCCCTAGGGAAAAAATAACCCTCCAACTTTCAATACAAATTTACCTGAAACACACACACACACAAAAGCATATGCTTACTGCCTCTGTAGACTCACACATTTTGACATTTGACTCATTTGTGTTGCAATCAGTGTTAAGAAAGCTATCATCTTGGTTATATATTGGCAGGTAGGAACATCACACCATTGCCATTTACTTATCATCTCTTTGATGAAACAATGTTTGCCTCTTCAATATTTTTAACCTGTAACACGGCTCTTCCCTCCATTTACAGCTATCTGGCTTCCACTGGACAAGTACCCAATGGTAAGTGGGACACAAAGAACACTTTTAAGAGGGTTTAAACATTTGAAAATGTGTGTCCAAAGTACCTGGTTGCATTTACTAGTCAATTTTCAGAAAATAAACCAGTAAGGTTTGCCTTGCGTTAATTCCTAAATCCTCATTTGGAAAGCTTTTTCTGTTATGGTAACTGACCTGGTAATCCTTTCCTACAAAACTCAAACTAACTCCCTACTAGGATAAACTCAATCTGAAACAGTTTTAGGAGGGATCAGTCATATACCCATTGCTGTGTTCGAGTTATATAACATATTAAACTGAAAATTCTTGAGTAAGGAACCACTTCTTCTTTCGCTGTTGGATATGCAAAAGGCAATACAATTTGGTACAAAAGCCTTTACAAAAGTTGTATTCATTATGAGGCTTCAGGTAGCATTTTTATTAAAAGATACAGACTGCCTGACACGAGTAGCTGCTTCTCCAGTCTGCTGGAAGGTGCTGTGAACTGCTCAGGTTCACAGTGTTTGTTATTGTACAGCGCCCTCTTCTGTTCTAAAGGGTTGCATAACATTTGTTTCCCATCTATAGAGTTTGGTCTGCTGGTGGCAGCGTGAGCCCAGACAGTTATCCCAAGCAGCAGAAATGGAAAAAGTACTTAGATATTACTTAGAAGTACCTACTTAAGTAAAAGTACAAATAATAATAATGGTATTAAGAGAACAAAATTAAGTCCTGAATTAAAAATGTTACTGAAGTAGAAGTACAGAAGTATTATCAGCTAAATGTACTTCAAGAATCAAAAGTAATAGTACTCTGTATGAGTCAAGGTAGTGGAGTAAAAAGCATGATATTAACCTCTAACATTTTGTGAAATAATAATTCATAATAATTCATTACATTTTTTATTAGAACGCTTTTTCAAGTGCTCAAGCGCTTTACATTACATATTACACATATTGGACATGTAACAGTGAATACGAAAAATAAATAAATAGACGTGATTGAAAGGCATTATGACTATCCGCTTGAACATAATCAGGACAGAGAGGGTACAACATGTTCAACTGACAATACTCTGCTAACAAGAGAAACATTAAGGCCCTGAGAGAACACCCACATTAAAGTCTGAGCAGACAGCATGATAAGACACCAGCACAGCGGGCCAGAGTAGTTAATCATACATGAAATCTCAACTGTTGCACTGTGCTGGTTGAATAGCAGAAGGACAATCATCTCAGTCCCGAGGCCAGAGCAAACACACACTTTATTTTCAGTCTGCCTTGCCCTTTAAGCCTGCAGAGAGCTATCTTATAAAAACAGCAGGAGCGTCATTAATCATGCACGCTGGTTATTTATACCACACATCACCTGTTTGACTGATCATACTGTAGCCTGTGGGAGTGAATTAGGCCTGGCCTGATTCACAAAAGGCCTCTTTACTGGCCGTTCAGCAATTCTCCTTTACCAGCAGCTTTAAAGGGGCCCTATTGTGCTTATTTTCAGGTTCATATTTATATTTGGTGCCTCTAATGTGACATGTTTACATGCTTTAATGTTCAAAAAGATTGGTTAGCTGGCCAGCTCTGTTATGATTGGTCCACTGCTTAGAGATGCCCTGCCCCTTAGCCTATCACTTACAATGTTTTGGAGATCTAACCAATAGAAGCGTGAGTGTTACATAGTGTTGTCATTATGTTACGGAAGTAAAGGAGTCCAATTGAGGCGTTTCAGTTGTGGGACAGAAAAAGGTAGCTTTTGCAGAACATTTTCATGCACAAAAACCTACATAACACACAAGAGGAAAGGGAACAACCTGCATGTTATAGCTGTAAAACTCACCATGTTGACTATGTGCTCTGTAATATAATTTCCTTTTTAGCAACTTGACAGTGACAATTTTTCAAATTTTTCCTGAGATTTATTCAGAACAGCCTGAGTGTAATAAAGAATAATTGTTTGTTGTAACATCAGGTTGCTTTTCTATAGAGAAGACCTGAAACAGAACAGCCTGAGAGAATGTCCTAGTTGACAAGTTGCTACTGTACTGAATTAATAACATATACTGATAACTAACTGTGTCTCTGTATGTCCTCCCAGACTGCTGTTTGCTCTCCCTGGTGACCGTTGGCCTCTTCAGGAAGTACATTTCTTTCCTGGAGCTTCCCTTCAGCTGGCTGCTGCCCTGCAGCCTCCGCTGTTTCCTCGGCTCACAGGGCTACAGGCAAGCCAAAGTAAGCTTCACAATGCACTGTTTGTTGGAAAGGCGTGTCACTGTCTCCTATTAGAGGGCACATACGAAGCTGTATGCAGTGTCTGTGCTGAATAGGCAAAAGTGGAGATACGGTTTTAAATAAAAAAGTAAGTGGTTGAGCATCAAATAATTGCATGATTATTTTCATTTTCTAGATTCATCTATTGATCTCTTGGTCTATAAAATGTCAGGATTAATAGTTTCTTAAAGTCCAAGGTGATGTCTTTAAACTTCTTTTTTATCTCTTCATATTTGAGAGGCCGATAACGGCATGTCTAACATTTTTGCATAAGAAATTAACTAACAATTCATCAAATTGTTTTCCTTTTGATCCATTATTCTTTGCAACTTAACATCAAGCAAATTCTGTATATAAAAATTACATGTGCAGTAAGTAGCAGATATATTTGGACCACGATTGGGTGTTAATTGTGATCCAATATCAAATGTAATGGATTACTTTGTACTCACTAACAACCCTCTTCTCCTTTCAGGATGCCATGTATTGCCACCGCACCCAGCTCCTGTGGTTTCGTTACCTCTACATCACCATGTCTCGATACATGTTCATCAACACGTTCCAAATTATCCCACAAGGTCCAAAGAACCTGAAGATCTATTGAGTTATGAGATAAACTGATGCACTGACTGTTACTTTGTTTTCCTGCTGCCTATCTACTAGATAACTGTGGTGAAGAGTGAATAAGGGTTTACAAATCAGATGAGCTGTTTTGCTCACTGTAAAAAGAAAATACTCAGTACTTTACTTTTTCAAAGAAGACTCAGCGTTTTATCGTAAGTCCTTTCCATAAATAATGCTGACTTTTCGTTTCTCAAAAATCTTTATTGTTATTACACTGTATAAAAGCAACACTACGGATACAGTTTTGTAATCTTATGTCAAAGATTATTAAAAAATACTGTAAAACATTTTTGATACTGATGATTAAAATAAGCTTGATTCTTAAATCACAGTGTTGTCATTGTGTTTTTCAGCTGTGCGTCTGCTTCAGGTTTAGACATATCTCTGATGCTCTTGTGAGCTTGCAAGCTTTCTTCCCACTTCTCCCCACAAAACTTATCCACTGTGACGCTGCGGACAGTACCTGGATCCAGACAGTGTGGAGCAACGCCTGGGGAGTAAACAACAACAGCAACGTTATTTACATATGAAAAAAACAGCCTACACCCATTATATAACACCATGGGGCTGAGTCAGAATAGGGTGTGCTGGAGGTGAAGAGAGTCACAAGGCTCCTTTTGTCATACAGTCACTGTGGAGCCTGGACCTACAGTGTGTGGAGGATAGTCTTGGTAACCAATAACAAATCTAATACTAGACTTGTTATGTGAAATATATGATGTAGAATTGAAAATTGTATTGAAGGGAATCTTTTCTGATGCTCTGGCTTAATTCTTTAAAAACACAATTTTTTTAAATAATGCTCTCAGCAGGAAAAAAAAGAGCAAGTTAAATATAATAGGTGAGGCAGTATTTTAAATGTTTTTGCATCCTTGTGTTATTTTTGCCATATTGAGCTCAAAATGCAACATTGTATATCATCTAATCAAACTTTTTTTTAATCTTCCCCTATGTCACTTAAATTAGTTTTGTGTGTCACTGTATTATGTAATTGTTTTTTAACAAAGATATATTTATCTTTTCAAAAAAAAAAGTGAATCTGCTGTATAGATTTTAGGAGAAGTTTCCTTATATAATCTGGAAACTTAGTATGGAACATTTATCTCTTATTGGGAACATAAAGGTTCTGTTTTTTACAAATATCCCAAATAAAGGGCTTTGTTTTGGGCAGAGTAGACTGGAGTAAACACAGCAGGATGTTAGGTAACAACATATGAGCGTGGTGTGACTGTCTTGTGTAAACTGTTAGCGATCATACCGTAGCCGTCAGGGTTGGAGCGTGGAGTGTAGAAACTTTGAACTCCACAAGTCTTACAGAAGGTGTGTTTAGCAACGTGAGTGTTAAAAGTGTATGTGATCAGATAATCTGACCCCTGTCAAGGAAAACAAAATTAATTTACTTTAAAATGCTCTTCTGATTTCAAACATAATCAAATATTTAGCTTGAGTTACCTGTAAGAGTGTGAAGTGATTCTTTGGAACAATGAAATGATGGTTTTGTTTCTTTGTGCAAATGCTACAGCTGAAGAAAAACAGACATAATTCAGTATGTATTAACTTGCTATAAAAGTGTACAAGCGACACATTGTTTGAAATCTCTTTAACATGACAGTTATGGGATTCATTTGTTTTTATTTAGCAAAACAAATATGTTTTACCCATTCATTTTAAAATAATAAATGTCTTGGACAATCTAGTTTTTGTCCAATACACAATGTTTATTTTTAAATTACAAGACAATATAAGATTTATTTTCCTTACTTGCATTGGAAAACATGGAGGTCTGGGGAACTTAGGACTTCAAATCTTACAGCCCCACAGTGGCAGCCGCCTGTGTGTTTCACCAGATCCATTCTGTAGGTATAAAGGAAATAACAAATTATCATGAGAAACACATTTATTCTGATTTAGGTAGGATGATATTTCAATCACTTTGATGTCAACAAGAGAATGAATGTGTTTACCAAACTATTCACTGAAGCTCTGATGAAACTTGTGTGCTAGTTTGTTATGAAACCTTTCGACGTGGAACTGAACGTCCCACCCAAAATGGCACATGTGTGTAAAACACAATTAAACTAATCAAAGTCCATTAACTGATAAGAGTTACATTAACATTATAAGCCTCTCTACTTTTGATCCATTCACAGCTATTGTTGGGTCATTGAAATTCCCAAAAATAAGTCAAGTTTGTTGCCACAAACCACAGGCGACAGTTTTATTTCACGTGACAACACTCAAATATAGAACACTTTGAGGCAGTGCATAATTATTCCAAGCAAGAGGCAGGGCAAAGTACAACAGACATGCACAAACACATTCCTCTGAACTCTGTTGGAAAGCACTGGCTGGTGTAATGCATCACGGGTTGGGTGTCATATGACAGGGTGCTGCTGGAGGGGTGGTGTTAAGGGAAAGCTGTGACCCAAATACATAAATTAGGACTCTCCCTGTTGTATCATATCTATGACCCCAAAATAGAACCCCAGAAGGCTACCGACCCCATCTGAGCTTTAATTGAATTTAGGTCACAGTGCCACCGTTGTCTGAAATAATGGCTGAAGCTAGAAAATGGGAAGGCAAATCACTGGTTTCCTTCTAAATATCTTGCCAAAGTCCCTTTACTCCAGGTACACATCACCAACATGTTATGTATCACTGTTTTTCTGTATCACATGAGCATTGTCATCATGCAGGCAGTTAGTCATGCGTACCTACAGCCCTTTCCTTAGAAACTTATAATTACTCAACAAATGAACAAGGAAGAGGAGAAAAATTATATTGTGTTCTGTCAGAAGGATAATGTTGAGTGGCCCTGGCAGTGTGTTAGAATTATGAACAGCTGTTACATTATCTGTTTGTGAGTGTTTTCTTTTCTCCTGCCATGACAATTTTCTCATAGCAATGGTGACTTGACAAAGTACTTTCTGTACAGTGTGTACATCCTTATAAGCAGAAAATTGCCATACCACTGCTTTCACGAAACATCAGATAGATCTAAAACAAAACCAAAAGGGAATTGAAATCTATTTAGTCAACTTACACTCTGGCAGAACACAACAGTGTGTCTTTAGACACACCACATATGGTCATTCTGGTTCTCAAACATCACGTTTCAGTATTTAGGTCATTTTTTTTATTGTGCATGCCAGATAACTGGTATCGCCTATTTCTGTTGATCAAATTACATCTTTGCAGAGGTGTTCAGGTTGGCTTTAAATCAGGAATGTATTCTTTATTTAAATGGTGGTGTTGTAGGAAACCTGCTGGATATTGGTTGCTGATGAATACAAGGTGGGTAAAGGTGGTCAGTTAACAGTGTGTACGCTTCCATTTTGCCTCCAAGACCTAACCCTGCTGTCACAGCAGCTGGTAGCAGATGTTTACCAAGCAAGTTTCCATCTGTTAACAGCGACGAATGATGGAGATTAACTCAAATTCCTGTTTGCACATGCCCCTCTGTCGTGTCACATTAAATGCATATTCATAACATAACTTATATGAAATTCTGTATTATAGAAAGAGTTACGTTTTAGAAAAGTCCATGTGTATGGTTATACTATAATGGCACAGAATGACACGAACCATTGTCTATTTAGGTCTTGACACTAATTCATAAATATATGTTAAAATCTCAGTCAAAAATACAAGTCGGCCATCAAACAATACTTACTGTAACACAGCAACCAATCGCTGGCGAAACAAACAATCGTGCAGTCCAATCAGAAGCTCAAGGACGGTTTCTGTTGCTACGGCAGTTCGAGAAAATTCCAGAACCGTAGTGTAGAGAGAGATATTATTCCGCCGCATAAAATAACGTTTACATCCATACAATTGTTTTTGAATGAAATCATCTTTATGAGTAAACATGTGATGATTCGATAAAACAATATTGTGCTATTAATATCTTGAATTGAAATTGTGGTCTGCCGAGAAGTGGTGACTACTTTCACATGCGGAAGGATACTTACAGATGACGTATGCAGTCATTGGTATATAATACAGTGTTTGTCTGAACAGCAACAGTTCAACAGCGGAAGCTGAGAGAGAGTAACACTGCACAAGAAGGATCCAACAATATTAACTGCGTCTCTTGATCGTAGGTATATATTTTCTTCTGTTTTCAAGCTGTATTGTTGTTAGTTCTTCAACTATTGATGAGTGGATGTTTTAGTAGCTTGTTTCGTGCCACTGCGGTACAGCTTCGCTTGTTTAGAAGATTGTCAGACGTTGTCTCAAATGTACTTTAACTCGTAGTAGTACACTACAGCAGGTTGTAGACTTTATTTTAAAACGGTATACGTGTCACTAACGACATTTATCGTCGTCGAATTAGTGGCTGTCTTATGTAAGCATTAGCAATGACTCGACATTTCCAGTATAGTCCATTATCGAGTAACGTTAGCTGAACAAAAGTAAGGTCAATATGATCTCAAAATGGCGCGTGGATGTAATAGCTGCTCAGCTGATGTTAGTTACAATTCTGTTTGCAGTTGTCTAAACGAATTTTCAACTTTTTATATGTTATTAATGGAAGCCATTTTACAAGTTAGACTTGCACTACATCTTTTATATGAATAATAGGGATAATGTAAAAAGACAAATGTACTCTTAACATCTATCATACGTGAGAGCCCATAAATTAAACCTGTTTTACCAATTCAGATTTTGTTTAACCCTAATTTTATGTTTCTCAATTTGACATAGGTACAAACATGCAGATCTTTGTGAAGACCCTCACTGGCAAAACAATCACCCTAGAGGTTGAGCCTAGTGACACAATTGAGAATGTCAAAGCTAAGATCCAGGATAAGGAAGGCATTCCCCCCGACCAGCAAAGGCTGATCTTTGCTGGCAAGCAGCTGGAAGATGGCCGCACTCTCTCTGACTACAACATCCAGAAGGAGTCGACGCTCCACCTTGTCCTCCGTCTGAGGGGAGGCATGCAGATCTTTGTGAAGACCCTCACTGGCAAGACTATCACCTTGGAGGTTGAGCCCAGCGACAGTATTGAGAATGTGAAGGCTAAGATCCAGGACAAGGAAGGCATTCCCCCCGACCAGCAGAGGCTGATCTTTGCTGGCAAGCAGCTGGAAGACGGCCGCACCCTCTCCGACTACAACATCCAGAAGGAGTCTACCCTCCACCTTGTCCTGCGTCTGAGGGGAGGCATGCAGATCTTTGTGAAGACCCTCACCGGCAAGACCATCACCCTGGAGGTTGAGGCAAGTGACACCATTGAGAACGTGAAGGCCAAGATCCAGGATAAGGAAGGTATTCCCCCCGACCAGCAGAGGCTGATCTTTGCCGGCAAGCAGCTTGAGGATGGCCGCACACTCTCCGACTACAACATCCAGAAGGAGTCCACCCTCCACCTTGTCCTTCGTCTGAGGGGAGGTATGCAGATCTTCGTTAAGACCCTCACTGGCAAGACCATCACCCTGGAGGTTGAGGCAAGTGACACCATTGAGAACGTGAAGGCCAAGATCCAGGACAAGGAAGGTATTCCCCCCGACCAGCAGAGGCTGATCTTTGCCGGCAAGCAGCTTGAGGATGGCCGCACACTCTCCGACTACAACATCCAGAAGGAGTCCACCCTCCACCTTGTCCTTCGTCTGAGGGGAGGTATGCAGATCTTCGTTAAGACCCTCACTGGCAAGACCATCACCCTGGAGGTTGAGGCAAGTGACACCATTGAGAACGTGAAGGCCAAGATCCAGGACAAGGAAGGTATTCCCCCCGACCAGCAGAGGCTGATCTTTGCCGGCAAGCAGCTTGAGGATGGCCGCACACTCTCCGACTACAACATCCAGAAGGAGTCCACCCTCCACCTTGTCCTTCGTCTGAGGGGAGGTATGCAGATCTTCGTTAAGACCCTCACTGGCAAGACCATCACCCTGGAGGTGGAGGCAAGTGACACCATTGAGAACGTGAAGGCCAAGATCCAGGATAAGGAAGGTATTCCCCCCGACCAGCAGAGGCTGATCTTTGCCGGCAAGCAGCTTGAGGATGGCCGCACACTCTCCGACTACAACATCCAGAAAGAATCAACCCTCCACCTTGTCCTGCGTCTGAGGGGCGGGCAGTAAAGTGATTAATGATTCCATGTTCTTAACCTTATTTCCCTCACGTTAACGTGCTACGTATGACATGTTATACACACCGTATTATAAAGTTGTTACACATGAAGAAGGTGTTAACAGTTACATGACCAAAAGTTTAATGTACATCACTTAATAAATGGTTAAACTTTATTTCCTGGTTTTGTTCCTTCATTTTGCTAATGTCCCTATTCAGATCAGTACAGAAGCTAAGTCTGGAGCATCCTGTTCCACATTTAAATAATAAGGGAGGTAGAAATGGGCTCTGGTACATGATGTTCTCTTAAGTAGGAAAGTGGAGACATAAAAAAAAATACTGATGATGGTAAAGGTGTAGTGAACTAAACTGCTCAATATAAGCTTTAATGACAAGACGGTACATGCATTGTCGACATAACGCGTATACATATCTAAACCATAGAACTTTGATAATGCAACTGCAGTAAATAGGTGTAAAGCATGCTAATGAGTAGTAATTTCAATGTTATTGTACATTTTGCCATTTTCCATTATGTGGGCTGTCGAGTGTGAAAATGAATAAACCGATATTTTCGCTCAGAAATCCTTATAAGTAGTTGCACTTTAATGACAAGATGTCAAAGCAGATGATAGCCCACAGATTTAGTAATGAAATGCTCAAAGTTGGCACATTTTCATTGCATGTTCGCCTATGGTGTCTTTTATATTTGAAGGTGTTTAGTCATTCGATATGAAACATAGATTTGATGGGTAAGTCAAAACCATATTATGTTCCCCTACTCAGTGAATGAACTTCTTTACTGCTGGAGGTCAGCTTCCCTATGAAATCAAGTATTTTTAATAATAGGGGTGTAGTGCCATCTAGTGTCAAAAGGTTGAAATGTTAGGGAAAAGGAAGACCAACAACAAATATATCAAAGAAACAAGGGAAGAGCATTTTTGTAAATTTAGGTATAAAAAAAGTGCAGCAGTATAATCGTATAAGATTTCTGTATGTGTGTATAGATTGCCTTATGCCCTGGGTGTTAACAGGCAGGACCAAAGTGTCTCTTTGCAAGGTTGGGTAGTGGACATGCATGGCATTAAAAAAAACAGTTAAGTTTAAAGGTCATGAATTATTGTTTTCTATTGGAGCCCTACATGGTTAAATCACAGAATACATTTTAAAAAATAGATAAATGTTCGTGTTAATTGGTAAGAAATTACATTTATATACCAATGACCAATACAATGTATATCTTTAAATACAAAAATATATGTTTAATGTCTCTTAACTTTTGATTTACCTTGGGTGTCAAGCGTAACATGACTTATTTATTGAAGCATTTGGTTATATAGTTAGTTATGAATTACATATTAATGTTGTGGCCCTTAAAACCCTTTATAGTTGTTTACATGTACAGTATGTGTAACACGAATATGTGACATGTGTACATATAGAGTGAATATAGTGACAACTAAATCAAAAATTGTTATTCAAGCGTTAAGAATGTTACCTACAAATAAACCCAGCAGAAAAGTTAGGGTACGGGTACGGGATAACACTACAGTCTCCAGTGAGCAAAGTAGTGTGGATTATGGATATAATAAGGATTGTGCAGAGGTATTTTGTGTCTAACAAGTGACATGTAATGTAATCCAAAACTAAACTGGCTCAGCATTGTTATCTTGATAATTGTTTGACAGCGGTTATCCATGTATATATATCTTATAGCACTGCTTACTTGACAATCTGTTGATTGTTTGTGCATCAAGATCAGGAAGATATATGACAAAATTACATGAAACCCTACAAATGAAATTGTGACAACCTGAAACACACACAGTATATTTTAAACAGAGCAGCTATATTCTAACAGAACATGAACAAATATCTATTTGATCATTTCCGCCTGTGATCTTTGGATGTATGTCCGGCCCAGAGATGGGAAGATAAGTAACAGGCATAAACAATGAGTGTTTAAATTATGTAGGGTACATTAATACTAAAGGTTAAGAGTTGTATTCATCATGAAAAAAGGTTTCTGATGTTAAAACAAATAACATTTACATAGAAATCTTTAGGCTTTGAAGTGTGCTAAGTTTGTGTTATTGTAGCTTTCATTAACATTTAAAACAATGTTTTTTGGTCATATAAGTTTCTTTCTTTGAAGTGAAGCTAATATAATAAACCTATGTATAATACATTACAGTTTTTATTTTGAAACACAGAATGGGAACTATTTTCCATTGCGGATGAATATTGCTCTATGACGTGTAGTCTGCAGTACAAGTTATCCTGTCCCCCTGGCAACCGCACAGTCAGAGAGAGGAGATAGTGAGGGACAACTAGATACCGAAACAAATTGTGAGTAAAATCGTTCGTTTAAAATTGTTTTACCATTTTTTTCAGTTTAAATGTTGTATTTTATTACATCAATCTACAGCGTCCATTTGTTTTTAACTATTTCCTTTTTTTTTTTGCAGCTAGCTAACCACTTGGTAAACAACGACTGTAGAGGCTGGTAACAACCTCAAATTAGCATTTGTTTTAATGTACAATGTCTGTTAACCTAGATTACCTATATTCTGTATTACCTGCTATGTTTATTTCTTTATAAATTACTCGACAAGTTTATCAATAACGTCAAAGACATGGCTAACGTTAGTAACAATGGTACAACATTTCTAGCTGCATCGTCCATTAGCTGGTAACGTTAATTGAACACAAACGAAGGCAAACAACAATACCCTTTTAAAATGGCGCTGGTGCTCGAATCACCGGCCTCCTACCAGTATGTTCATGTTATTTACTCACTTTTAACATTTCTGCTGAGATATAAATATTAAATAATGTCCCCTAAGAATGGCGTCTGCATATGCAAAACACATGAACAAATGTAACAACTCAGGTATAACGTTCCTTCAGACAGAAAGCTTCTTTAACAACATAGCCTTATATTTAGTTTTGCTTTATAGTATGTCATTTTTAAAGTAAGCCTTTTTACATTATAGGGTATCAGTAACGTGTTGTAACTTTTTTCCACAGGGGCAAACATGCAGATCTTTGTGAAGACCCTCACTGGCAAGACCATCACCCTTGAGGTCGAGCCCAGTGACACCATTGAGAATGTCAAAGCTAAGATCCAGGACAAGGAAGGCATTCCCCCCGACCAGCAGAGGCTGATCTTTGCCGGCAAGCAGCTGGAGGATGGCCGCACTCTCTCTGACTACAACATCCAGAAGGAGTCCACCCTCCATCTCGTCCTGCGTCTGAGGGGCGGGCAATAAATAATTATGGTGAAGAGATTTATATGACAACCTAACCCAATAAACGATGAGAGAATAAATCATCTGTTTTTGCCCTTATTTTGCTAATTTTTTCTTGAATAGCACAATGACTGGTTTTCATGTTAAAATCCTACATCCAGATTAATTCTGTATTATTACTATAGGTAATCTTACGAAAGACAATGTTTGAAAGTTGATGTTTTTTGTATTTCATATAATTGAGAATTCAACTAACTGGAATTACTAAGGGTTATTATTTAAATACAAGAATTCATAATTAAAAACACAAGACTTCAGCTGGGTTATTATTAAAAAAAAAGTCAGTGGGTTTAACTGACTGCTCATACAATACATCTCGAATGCTCTCAAGAGATTTTTGTTAGGTTAAGGTTAGTTGTCCTTCCCTAAAGTTTTTCTTTATAATTTGTTTTAACAAGTGGTTCTATTGAGTTACCTGAATAACTTTGATGAGTCAAACCATGAAACTGAAGTTATGTGCACAAAAGTTATATTGGCTTTTATTAGGGAATGTTATCCAGGAAATCTTGTAAATTGCTCCTTGTAACAAGTACCTCTTGGGTAAAATTAGTAAGGAAATGTTACTGTAAACACAGGCCCCTTATTGAATAACTAATTGCCACATTGAGACACTAGATGTCACTGTTGTACTGTTAGTTAGCACCCTCAATGTCTATAAAGTTGCATTTACACATTTCCTATCTCACTTAACAGACATTAATAACCACCCAGTTTAAAACCGTGTGGTTCTTAAACCGGGGTCTGTGGAAAGCTTTCTTAGATAAATACCAGAGAAAACATACTATCAAAATATGAGGAACATTAAATGTAGTTGAAAACTAACACTAGGCCTATGTATAGAAGTAGGGAAGGTGTGACAGGTCAAAGAAATGCACTTTAAAGGGAATCTCCGCCTTTTTTACACTTCAAAGTTTACAGGTCTGGGGGACTATGTGTTTTAAGAGCTTTATACATGTTCGAAATGTAATATATCATTTGTGAATTTGGAGCTACAAAAAAGTCTCTACCCCACTCTGCTCTGCTGGTGGTAACATTAGCTTCTACTGACACAACACAACTAAAGCTCTATCTGTGGTCCATTGGCGTTGTGGGTAATGTAGGCCACAATGTTTTGACAAGGAAAAACAATGTGTGATATAATGCTGGTTAACGATTTTAGTCCTGGATGAGTTATAGTCCCGGAGCCAAAGCCTGATTTTTGGATGAACCTTGTTTCGTCTGATAACGTTTTTTTTCTGCTGTTTCTTTTAGCTTGGAGGTACCTCTTCAAAATACAGGAGGGTGCTCGGTGATATCCCTTGAGCATTTTCGGATATTAACCCCTTCATGGTCAAAACGCCAAAATCCCAGAAAATAAGGATTTATGAGATTTCATGCAAAATACTCAAATCAAATGCACCCAATTTACTTTCTCCAATGTGTATTCAAAAGGAGTACAGGAGGGTGCCCACTGATAACCTTTTAGCATTTTCAGATATTAACCCCTTCATGCCCAAAACTCCTAAATCCCAGAAAAATAAGGATTTATGAGATTTCATGCAATAATATTGAAATATATTCAAATCAAATGCATCACATTTGCCTTCCCCAATGTTTATATTCATACAGTGCATTGTATTCTAAATTAATATTAACCCTTTCAAGCTGACCCAGCAAAACATACTTTTGTAGTGCAGTGAATTCTGCAAAGACAATGCAAACAACTTCTCTCGTTTGCTCACGCAACTGCGTGGCGTTTATTACCAACAACAAAAAGGAAAGGCAAGCAGATTGTTGGATAAAACATTGCTCATTAGCATATAGAAATGACACATTACAAATATTGCTGATGATCAGGGGCGTCGCCTGGACCTGAAAACATTCGGGGCTTAGCCCACAGTGGCATTTTTTACTGCAACACTCCCCACACGCACACACACAGTACACCCGCGACTGTTACAATGAAGGCTCGATAATCAGCTCACGGCATATAGGCAAGGGTAAAGTGGTATTTTTTATGAGTGGGGGGCTCACCTCCTCTAGGGATGCTCCCCCGGGAAGATTTTTTTTTAAATATTGAAGTTAAATGCATCAATCTGGTGCACTTTGAGAGCAAAATGAAGAGATCTATGGATACCTCTCTCAACACCCATATGAAGCAGAACTGTAAACAGATGTACTTTTTCTTTATGGATATTTTACTAATCACTCCCCTTTTAAACTCTATTCTTGTTTTACTGCCATATAGTATTTCATAACTGTTTTTCCTTTTTTCTCTTATTTTTTTTATAACTATAATGATCATATAAAGGTGTGCCGCGGAAATAATCTTTTGAATAATTTGTGACCAAACCGTTTGAGACCCACTGAGATAACTTAGACTAAAGTTAAGTATCTAAACACTCAGAGAGTCCTTTAGCTCACCTGAGTCTCTCAGTCTGACAGGCGAGGACTCTCCTCCAGCTTGTTGTGGAACAAACAGCTCCTTATGTCCGTTAGTGCAGCTAGCTAACCAGATGCTAACAACACGGTCCCTGCTGGCACCGGTCCCTCCCTCCCCCTCTCTCCCTCTCTCTCTCTCTATCACACTAAATGCGCTATTGCCACACACACACAGAGCCGAGCTTGAATGACACAAGCACACGTTTATTTCCATGCAACTCTCTGATTGGTCTGGTGTCATGCCTCTGTTGCATTCACTGAACACGGGAAATTACAGTGCTGCCGTCCTCTCTTGTGTCATGATGAGGTTCACGTAAAGCACGGTTAATGTATTATATTATTGAGGGAGAATTGTCCGGGGCTACAGAAAAAACATTCGGGGCTAAAGCCCCGGATGCCCAGGCCAGGCAACACCACTGCTGATGATCATCTAGTGTTAGGATCTTGAGCATCCCACCCTGAAACATGCACAGAACATTGTGCATGGCAAACCATGCACTTTACAACTGCACTTCTTGGAGTTGCAAGGGGTCTCACTCTTGCAGCCACACCTGATCATCTCCAAAATGTAATCTGGGACACGTTTGGCATCTTCTGGTAGATGGGTTGGGATCAGTGACCTGTTACGCGTATCTTTTTTCCATCCAAATTCCTCTGGGTTTAGTGCTGGCAGCAGGTTTACATTGAGATTTTGCCACAACATTGCCTGAAAGTGGGCCCTCTTAACGTTCTCAATGAAGGCTTCATTTGTTGGTGGTAGAGCAGCAAGGTTTGGAGCAGAGATATTGTTACGATTTGGGAAAAGGTAGGACCCAAATGCAGTTTAAAAAGGGAAGCGGGTTTCAAAATGTAACAAAAAGCGAGCTTTATTTACAACAAAAAAAGCTGTTGACAATGAAAAATACTTAACAAAAACATGAATCCAAAGAGTAGGTAACACGAGGTAATCCAGACAAAACTGACCGTGACCACATGAAGGGTGACAGGAAAGACAATGAACCGACCAGGAGCACAGGGGAAGACAAGACTAAATACAAAGAAGGGTAATCACAGGACAATACACAGCTGGGCAGGGGAGGCAGAAACACAAGGGCAACAGGCAGTGGCGGTTCTAGACCAATTTGACTGGGGGGGCCAGGCTGGGGCCAGTTATTTTCTGAGGGGGGCACAATAAATGCAGGACGAAAAAGACAAAGACAGTATGAAGTAATTGCGCATAAGAAAACAATGCAATACAGTTATTGGTATTTGTTTCATTACAGATTATTATCTGCTTACCTTTAACCTTTGTGTGCTGTTTGGGTCTGTGGGACCCGTTTTCAGTTTTTACTAAAAGAAAAATATTTTTTTTTAAATGTTGAAGTTAAATGCATCAATCTGGAGCACTTTGAGCACAACATGAATTTATGGATACAGCTCTCAACACTAATATGAAAGAGAGCTGTATACTTTTCAATAATCCAAACATCTTTAGAATATGATCACAACCAATAACAAATCATTTAAACTTGTTTATTCTTATCTTATGTTACCTATAGTTAGCATTCTTTCTTTTTATTTAAGCATATTTGACTATAATCACTCCCCTTTAAAGGCCCTGACACACCAGGCAGTCACCAGAGAACTCGCCGACACCGACAGTTCCATCGACGAGTTCTCCTGCGTCTTGGCCATGTGTCGCACTGGAACACACCACAAAGACTTCAGCCGAGCACGTACGAACTGCGCATGCGTGAGTGGCAATAACTCTCCTTACCAGCAGGCGGCTGTAGTGTGTATTCGTCATTCAAAATAGGCAACAACCGGAAGACAGAGAAGAAGAACAGACTGATATAAACAAACAACAAATAGCGCGTGCGTTCCATTTTCACTCTCGTCCATCGAAAACATGTTATAGAATATCAAAATACATGAATGATGAAATGAGCACATAAAGTGCAGACATACTATAAAATCACAGTTAATAGACCTGCATCTGATGATCGCAGTGTTCTGGCGGGTGTGTAGTTTATTGAGTCAGTAATGTATGTAATGTAATAATGGCCACTTCTTGCTAAATGTACATTTCCATGTGATGCTTTTATCCGAGGCGACTCACAATAGGTAAATGAACAGCAGTAGACAGTATCTCATTTACTTAGACACTGTACTTAAGGACAATGTTGAGGTACTTGAGACTAATCCTGCAACTTTATACTGACAAATAAACCGATGAGATGAAAAACCGGACTTGACCAAACAAATCACGGAGCTCTCAGCAGAGGACAGCCGGGGACGCTCCCGCCGATATCAGAGATGTCCCTGCTATGTGTGGGAGGTAAGAGAGGACATTTAAGGGCTATGTTTGATGTCTTTAAGTATCACCTGCTGGGGTTTAGCTGCTGTCCTGTGCCTTTTTAAATCGTTTGTTTACGTCCCTCACTTCCGTTTCGCTTCTCATTTGCTAGCTGAACAGCTGATCAGAGTGGTTTCTTGGCCCGATAGCTTGTGTCCGTATTTTGGCCGATTCAACATGTTGAATCGGCCATGTGTCGACCGTGAAAGGCCAAATAAGGCATGTCACGGCCGAGGGTTCGGGACACACCAA